GGTCACACTGTAATCCCTTCTCCTCCATTTCTCCCTCCTTTGAGGATTTTGGGCACACACGTGCACTGCACCCTGGCATGTTTCTCAAACTGCCAGGCCTGGGACTCGAACTGTGGCCATATGGGATACAGCCACCTTAACCAGCACATCACGCCTGGTCCAGGGATGCTGTCTGCCTGCAGGAGTTCAAGGTGTGGGGCCGACTGGCACCCAGAGATTTGAGGCTTCCCCAGGGGAGGCCCCAGGTTTGCTCAAGGTCTCCTTGCACACTGGGGCAGGGTGGTGCCGGGATCCTGGCCGGCTGAGTCTGAGGCGGGATGACATGAAGGACATGCTGGAGTGCGTGTCTTTCTATCCCTCTCTCCCTTTCTCTCTCTGACTCTTTCTCTCTTGAATGAACAAATGAAATGAATAAGCCCACAGTCTACTGGAGGAGGCAGACAGCCAACAGCTCACCGCCGCAGCAAGCCCGACCAACTTCCATCTCAGTCAGAGGTGGGGACAGCCAATGCCGAAAAGTGGAAGGGGTTTGGAGAAGAGAGCAGGAGTAGATTGAAGGATTTTTTTTTGGAAAGGGTGGCCAAAAAAGACTTCAATGAGAAGGTGACAGATGAGCAGTCTTAAAGAAGGGAAGGGAGGGACCAGCAGGTAGCACAGGGGTTAAGGCATTGGACTCCCACATGGCTGACCGAGATTCAAGTCCTGGACATGGCAGCTTGAAATTCACACCGTCCACGTGTGTGCACATGCGTGCCCAAAACCCCGAGAGGAGAGTGGAGAAAGGATTGCAGCATGGTCATCTCCCGTGGGGGTGGAGTGTGATTTCCCCCATTCTGTCTTTCTGTCTCCCTGTGGAGAATGCACACACCTCACAGCAAAAATCTGTAAGAAAAGTGGGGGCAGCAGGTGGTGTAGAAGTTGGGGTGCTGGACTCCCACATGGTCAACCACAGTTCGAGTCCCAGACCTGGCAGTTGAAACTCATGCCAGGCACATGTGTGTGTGTGTGTGTGTGTGTGTGTGTGTGTGTGCTCAAAATCCTGAGAGAATGGAGGAGAAGGAGGGATTGTGGCGTGGCCATTCCCCTCTGGAGGGTAATTTCTCACTTTCTGTCTCCCTGTCTCTCTGTGTCTCTCTAGTGAGCACTCTATAGCAAAAACCTCTACACAATTAAATTAAAAGGGAAGGGAGCGGTCCATGTTGCTATTTAGGGGAAGAGTTCAGGCCAAACAAAAACACACAAAACGGCAAATGCAAAGGTCCTGAGGCGGGAGGGAACTGAACAAGATCAAGAAACCACAGGAAAGCAGCGGCTGGAGCAAAGGGCAGGAGAGGGAGTAACAGCAGAGGGCCAGCGAGGTAACGGGGTGCCAGTGCAGAGCCTTGAGGGGCTTCCACCTGGCTCAGAGGGGGGCGGGTGTGGAGCACAGGACGACACGACCTGACTTCTGTTTGGTTCATACCACGATGGCTGCTGAAGGGACGACAGACAGGTGGGGGACAAGGACCAATGGGCATAGGAGCGCAGGGAGGAGGTTAAACAATCTCGGCAAGAGACGAGGCTGGACCTGGCCGGTGGCGGCTTTAGTGCCATTTCGATTTTCCAACATGTTATCATGAAAAATTCACACATGAGGCCGTGGGCAATTTTGCAGTGAGCACCTTATACCTGGAATTACAGTTATATTTTTAGAACAATTATTTAATTTTTTTTTTTCAGATTTTCTATAGGGCGCGTATGCTCACCATAGAGCAAGAAAGAGAAAGTCAGAAAGCAAGCCGCCAGGTCTGGGACTTGAACCACTGTCCAGCACCCCAGCCCCCCATGTCACCTGCTGGTCCCACAGTTACATGTTTTTAAGAGAATCTGGGGGATTTGTGGAGCATTCAGAGCCTAGGGGAGGGACACCATGGAGAGGGAGCGGCCGGCAGTCGGGGAACTGGAGCTGGAGCCGGAAGTGCAGCCCAGTTCCGGTCCGGTACACCAGACCCACAGCCACTTTTCCTAGGAAGGATCACTTATTATGGCATCTGCTAGTCTGTTGGTACCCTAACCTTTCTTGGGTCATGAATCCAGTAAAACATCAGCAATCTAAACCCTCCTCAGAAATTTGCCCATAAGCGATTGCAGGGGAATTATGAACACAGACAATAAAAGACACAAAATGTAGAATATTTTATTTGACTTAAAAACATTCAGTCCTGGGAACCAGCAGTTAGCGTAATGGCTATGTCGCTGGATTCCCACGTAGTCGACCGCGGTTCGTGTCCCGGACCCGGTGGCTTAAAAAACTCACGCCGGGCGCGTGTGCGTGAGTGCCCAAGATCCCGAGAGGAGAAGGGATTGCGGTGTGACCATCCCCCCTGGGGGGTGATTTCTCGCTTTCTGTCTCTATGTCTCTCTCTGTCTGTCTGGCGAGCGCACGTGCCCTACAGTGAAAATCTCTCAAAAAAAAAACAAAAAAACATTCAGTCCTGGGGCCAGCAGGTAGTACAGTGGTTAAAATGCTAGACTCCCACATGGTCAGCCACGGTTCAAGTCCTGGATCCGGTGGCTTGAAAATTATAACAGGCATGTGTGTGTGCATGCTCAAGATCCCAGGAGAAGAGTGCAGGAGAAGAGATTATGGCATGGCCGTCCCCATAAAGGAATGATTTATTACTCCCCTCTCACTGTCGCGCTCCTGCTAGGGTATGTCCCTATGGCAGAAACCTAAAAAAAAAAAAAAAAAAAAAGTGTAACAGAACTATTGTAAGTAAACATTATTAGTTTTGTTTTTTATTTTTACTTTTTAATTTGCCAGAAGGTATGTGCTCCAAGCAGGAAGAGGTAGAGAGAAAGAGAAAGCACCCTCCCGATGGGATACAGTCACACCGTAATCCCGTTCCTCCATTTCTCCCTTCAGGACTTCGGGCATGTACGCACACACCCAGTGTGTTTGTCAAGCCAGCAGGTCCAGGATTCAAACTGTACTGTCAGCCATGTGGGATCGGGCTCTCTTAACAGCCAGGCCACAGGGCCAGACCAATATTACTGTTTGTTTTGTTTTTTTTTTTAATAACTTGCTATAAGGCTCATGTGCTCACCTGAGAGACATCCGGGGGTGGCCACGCCTCAATCCCTGCTCCCTCGTGTCCCTTTCAGGATGTAGGGCCTGCATGCACACGCATTTGTTGTATTTTTCAAGCTGCCAGGTCCAGGACTCAAACTGTGGTCAGCCATGTGGAATCCAATGCCTTAACCACCATGCCACAAGCTGGCCCAATTTATTTTGTTGTTTTTTGTTGACATAGGGTGTGTGTACTGGCCAGAGAGAGACAGAAACAGAGAGAGGGAAAGTGAGAAATCATCCCCCAGGGGGGATGGCTACCCTGCAACCGTCTCTCCTCCACTCTCCTCCATCCTCCTCCATTCTCCTCCATCCTCCTCCATCCTCCTCCCTTCTCCTCCACTCCCCTCCACTCTCCTCCACTCTCCTCCGCTCTCCTCCATTCTCCTCCCCTCCCCTCCATTCCCCTCCATCCCCCTCCATTCTCCTCCATCCTCCTCCATCCTCCTCCCTTCTCCTCCACTCCCCTCCACTCTCCTCCACTCTCCTCCGCTCTCCTCCATTCTCCTCCCCTCCCCTCCATTCCCCTCCATCCCCCTCCATTCTCCTCCATTCTCCTTTCGGGATTTTGGGACTCAGGCACACATGCCCAGCGTGCTTTCAAACCGCGCAGCCAGCTATGTGAGATCAATACCTTAACCACCACGCCACCTGCTGGCCTGACACTGGGCATGAAGCCCCCAGTATCAGGGATCTCACCAGGACACGCCCTCCTGCTCCCCGCCTTGTCCCCAGGTGCCCCCTTTCTCATGGGCCTGGCCTGTGGGCAGCAGTAGAGAATCTGCAGTGATGAGGGGACAGAGCATGGTATAGACTTCCAGGACCCAGAGGTCAACCTTCTGGGCACTCTGAGGACCAGGGCCCCAGGCTGGAGCCTGAGAGAGGCACGGGGCAGAGTGGCCCCTCTGCCAGGGTCTACCTCCTAGTGATGCTGCCTGGGGAAGGGGCATGGGGATGGCTCCTAGCCAGGCTGGAGCTGCTCCGTGCCCGGTCGCAGAGCTTTGAGCTCAGGAAATCCGGAGGCAGGGGAAGGGGCCATTGTTGCCACATCCCCCAGCCCTTTAAGACCCTCGAGGCAGGAAGGCTGCCCAGGCCTCAGCAGTTTCCCTCGCGGGCTCCTTCCTGGGAGGAAGGGGCTGCCTGTGCCCATGCAGGGCAGGGGAGGGCGGGCAGGAGGCTGGGAAGGTGTTGCAATCCTCAGCCCCCGTCCTGTCAGAGGCTGAGCCACTAACGACGGCTGGGGACAGTCGACTGCGGCTGGTTTCAGGAACTTGCCTTGAAGAGTAGAGCAGCGAAGAGGAGAGGCGGAGAGAGGAGGCAAGAAGAGGAGAGGCGGGGAGAGGAGGCAAGAAGAGGAGGCT